TAGACATTTTATGTACCTTATCAAATTGAATTCTGAGGATGTACATGGAGACAAACCAACTGAGAACACGCAAAGAATATTTTTTTCAGGGCTTGGTATAGCAAGGAGTCAGCCACTGTCACTTGCATTTTGGTAGGGACTTGAGTCAAAGAGAGAAGTGGGAAAACTACAGTGGAAAATAGGAATGGTTTCAGGTATGGCCTGATTGGAGGCTGTTGGCACAGGGATGCTGCAGGTGGGCTAACTAGAAGCAGGACATTCTATGGCATTGGTTAGGGGTGCATATTTGGTTTTCTCTGATTGTTTTAAGTTGGAATGGAGGACAGAAATTAGGGAAACTGTCAGTTAGTAATCAAGTCCTAACCATTTTGCGGCCGGGCACGGTGCTCCTGCCTGTAATCCCAGCACTTTGGGAGGCTGAGGCGGGTGGATCACCTAAGGTTAGGAGTTTGAAACTACCCTGGCCAACATGGTGAAACCTTGTCTCCACTAAAAATACAAAAAAAATTAGCCGGGCGTGGTGGCATATGCCTGTGATCCCAGCTACTGGAGAGGCTGAAGCAGGAGAATTGCTTGAACCCCAAGGTGGAGGTTGCAGTGAGCCAAGATCACACCACTGCACTCTAGCCTGGATGACAGAGTGAAACTCCATGTCAAAAAAAAAAAAGTCCTAGCCATTTTGGGCTGATGGTAAAGGGGTTATTGTTTGGCTTTCTGGACTATCATTAGAGAGAGCAATCTGATTTCCTAGAAGTCTGACTTATAGCCTGCTGACCTCCTGGGCTGGTTATTCTGAATAACGGTTTGGGTTCCTGGGCAGGTTGCTGCAGGTTGTGGGTCAGAGTTCTGTTTTATATAAGGTCTAGTCATTGTCTGTATATTTGGTCTCTCAATTTTCACAATGCCATTGTAAGATAGACATTATTTGACATATGAGGGTATTGACTTCAGTAGGTTAACTTTGAGCGTTCAGCTCACAGTAGGCCTCTTCCAGGAAGCCTTCCCACCCTATTCCCTTCCTCCAAAGCAGAGATATATACACACACTTTCTCTGTGCTTACCTGTACTGCATCATCATCACCATTGTAACAGTAAATACTTATATACCTACATGCCACACTAGTGTTCTATTTTTTTTTTTTTTGAAACGGAGTTTCGCTCTTGTTGCCCAGGCTGGAGTGCAATGGCACGATCTCGGCTCACCGCAACCTCCGCCTCCTGGGTTCAGGCAATTCTCCAGCCTCAGCCTCCTGAGTAGCTGGGATTACAGGCACGTGCCACCATGCCCAGCTGATTTTTTGTATTTTTAGTAGAGACGGGGTTTCACCATGTTGACCAGGATGGTCTCGATCTCTTGACCTCGTGATCCACCCGCCTCGGCCTCCCAAAGTGCTGGGATTACAGGCGTGAGCCACCGCACCCGGCCACACCAGTGTTCTAAATGCTTCATGTATAATAACTAATTTCATCTTTCACAGGACTGGGAGGTAGAGAACATTATTTGATTAGTAGCCCTTTGGTCAAGGTCACATGGAAGTGGTGGAGCTATGCTTCAAATCCAAGCAGTCTGACTTCACATCCAGTGCTTTTCTCTACCCCATCATAGCATTGGATTGTAACTGCCTGTTTGCCTATTTCTTCCAGGAAACTGTGTATGCCTGTTGTCAGGGATAATGTCTTATTTGCTATTCGGTGCTCAGTCTTCAGCATCTCATGGATGCCCAGTAACACTTTTAGCCAGTGATTCAGTTTGCTTGGGTTTGATTTTCTTTTAGAAAATGGGAATTATGGCCGGGCGTGGTGGCTCACACCTGTAATCTCAGCACTTTGGGAGACTGAGGTGGGTGGATCACGAGGTCAGGAGTTTGAGACCAGCCTGGCCAAGATGGTGAAACCCCCACTCTACTAAAAATACAAAAATTAGCTGGGCGTAGTGGTGAGTGCCTGTAATCCCAGCTACTTGGGAGGCTGAGACAGGAGAATCGCTTGAACCCAGGAGGCAGAGGTTGCAGTGAGCTGAGATCGCGCCATTGCACTCCAGCCTGGTGACAGAGCGAGACTCCATCTCAAAAAAGAAAGAAAAAAAGAAAATGGGAATTATGGTACCTTTGTTTCAAGGCTGGGATTAGGGTGACTGAGATCCTACATGCAGAATTTAAGAAGGCACTCATACGCGGGAGCTAAGGCCAGTGCTATAGGACCTGCTGTCTTTTTTTGAGATGGATCTCACTCTGTCACCCAGGCTAGAGTTCAGTGGTGAGAGCTCTGCTCATTGCAACCTCTGCCTCCCGGGTTAGAGCGATTCCCCTGCCTCAGCCTCCCGAGTAGCTGGGACTATAAGCATGTGCCACTATACCCAGCTAATTTTTTTGTATTTTTAGTAGAGGCAGGGTTTCACCATGTTGGCCAGGCTGACCTCAAAGGATCCACCCACCTCAGCCTCCCAAAGTGCTGGGATTACAGGCTTGAGCTACCTCCTGGCCTGGACCTGCTATCATTTGACAGGATTGTTAAAAGGATGACCTACACAAGAGATCTTTGGTTTGGCTGGTTTTCATGCAGTGGTGTTTACAGCTAATTGATCACAACCACAGATTTCTCTGTTCCTTTTCCATTCTTCTGCTTCACTTGACCAGCCTTAAGAAAAAAAAAGAGAGAGAGAGAAAGATCTTTGGTTTTTTTCTTCCCCCCTGATTTCTATTGCCACTGCTCTAATTTAGGACCCCCATTATCTCTCACCTAGATTAACTTAGTGGCTTTTCAATGGATTTTCCCCAGCCTTTTGGTATCTTCACTTTCCAGTTCCAGTTCCTGCTACACACTGCTGCTACAATTAGTCTCTAAAACTTTGACTGAGTGTAGCATGTCTCTGTGCAAAATCTTCAAGGACTTCTTCTCATTGCCCACAGAGAAAGTCTAACCTCATTAACACAGCCTGCTTTTCTCCCTGTACCTTCTGGTGCTTTCTCATAGTTTATCCTCCTTTATCCTTA